GCAATACTTAACTGAATACATGCATGAAGAAAAAAGGAAGACTTAAAAAAAAAAAACCCCAAACCTGCCCCCCCCCACCGCATCCAATCCAAGCAGCACAACTGTGGCAACTTTGCAACCAAAAGCAGCCCCCTCCCAACTTCTTCTGCATCCGCCCCTGGCCGCCGGAGCCCACTGTGAGCCTGAGAGCGGCTCGGCTCTTCCCCAAGTGTTTGTCTCTCTCTCTTTTATTTTTTGTTGGCACTGCCCTGAGGTCTGACAACTTCTCGCCTGGTCTCCCTCCAGGAAGGCAAAGGAGAGCGTCTCCCTTACCTGATCCGAGGCTCCCCCAGATACGAGAAAAACCCAATGTAAGTCCCCGAGGAGCGACCCGCGCCGTCCGTGGCTCAAGGCAGGTGCAGGGAGCGCTAGTTGTGTGCCGGCAAAGACGATCCGCAGCCGCGCCGGGGAGAGCCGAGGGAGCCGAGCAGTTTGGGGGCAACTCCGGAGCTTCCCCCGCCCCCCGCACTGCCCTCCACAAGTCCCACGTGCGGGGCCGGCGCCTCCCGGGTTCAGCACCAGCGGCGGCGTGGACAGCACCAGCTCCGCTCCCCTCCACCGTCCCCGGCACTGAGCCGCGCGCTTCTCCCGCCTCCTCCCTCCCCGGCGCTGCCACTCAGCCCCGCCGGGTCCCGCCTCCCCGGCCCCGGCCCTCACGTCAGCCCCGGCTCGTCTCCGTTTGCACAGGAGCCGGGAGGGCCCGCTGGAGCCCGCCCTCTGCTCGGGGACAGCTGAGTCCCGAAGCCCCGATCCTGCCCTTCAGGGGGCTCGGAAGCAAGTCCAGCCTCCCTCATGGGGCGCGCCTGCCTGAGGATGCGGGAGTGCCGGGATGTACGAGGTAGCCCTGTTGCTCTGAGACAAAAAGGAACGCAACATTCCCAATTAGAGCCTTTATTTTATTTATTTATTTTTTTTGGCAAAAATCTGGTTGGTCTCATCAAAGGTGTCACCTCTACCACAGGTTCAGATTCTTTTTCACCTCTAGACCAGGGGTAGGCAACCCGGAGTGTGGTGCTCAAAGACTTTTGCTTGGCACGGGTGCCTCTTGGCGAGGAAGGGGCCGGGGCTACATGGCCAGAACAAGCATCGGGCCCTGCGTGGCTCCCCCACCATCCACCCCTGGCATGCCAACATCTTACAAATTGAAGTTGTAGGTGTGTTTGGCACTCTGCCCAAAAACGCTGCCGACCCCTGCTCTAGACCAATACGGCAACAATTTGGATATCACACAAAACTCTACAACTCTTAGTTTGGAGAAGATACCTTTGATTAGACTACGGGTTAGCCATCCCTGGCGCAGGTGGCAGAGTGCGGCACATGAAGGCATTTTGCTTGGTGCACACGCCTCGGGGAGGACAGCAGGGAAGGGGCGGGGGGCTTCACTGCCGCAACAAGGATCAGACCCCCTGCAGCTCCCCGCTGTCCACCCTTGGCGTGCCAACATATTGCAAGCGAAGTTTGTGGGCATTTTCAGCACTCTGTCCAAAAACATTGCCAACCCCTGGATTAGATCAACTAAGAAATCACTATATCTATATAGATATCTATATTTTGCTATCGATCGATCGATCAATCGATATTTTGCAGAAAAATATATATTTCTTTTTGGTGATTTCTTAGTTGGTCTAATCAAAGGCATCTTCTTGTAACCAGGAGTTCTAGAGTTTTGTGTTTCTTTCAGGTATGCATTAGGTAGCTGTGTTGGTCTGAGACAAAAAGACATACAAAACTCTCAGTTAAAAGGGTTTTTTTGCTGTTGTTGCAAAAATTGACTTGGCCTAATAAAAGGCAATCACCTCTACCACGAGTTCCGATTCCTTGTTGCCTCTAGACCAATATGGCTACAACCTAGATACCATGCAAAACTCTAGAACTCTTAGTTCAGAGATGATACCTTTGATTAGACCAACTAAGAAATCACTAAAAATTATTATCATCATTATTATTATTGCAGAAAAATATATATTTTTTGTGATTTCTTACTTGGTCTAATCAAAGCAATCATCTCTAAATCAAGAGTTCTAGAGTTTTGCGTTTCTTTCAGGGATGCTGACTGGGATCCTGGCACTGGGTTGGGGCTGGCCATTACAAAAGGGACCTGGAACAAAAAAAGGTTGAGAACCACTGGCCTATACAATGAGGATTAGAAGGGACCTCAGGAGGTCATCTAGTCCAACCCCCTGCTCAAAGCAGGCCCAGGCCCAGCTAGATGGTCCCTAGCAAAGCTTCGTCTTCAAAACCTAAAAATATAATTCAAATCCAAAACAGCAAGAAGTGGTGCTAGTCCCAGCATTGGAGCCTTTCCACAACCTTTCACAGCAGCATAGGGGCCAAAAAACATTAGGGGAAGGAGCAGGAAGAAGTGCAATTACTCCCCTCCCCCTGCACCCCAAGGTTCTTTAGGTAAATGTGATCTTTTTTATTAGACCAGCTAGCTAGTTGGAAAAATTGTTCTTTGCAAGCTTTCGGGCACAAACTCCCTTCTTCACACACAGAGTCTGCTGTTTTTCTGTGTTCTCCTGGATGGAATAGAAGCCGTTACCCCTCATTCCCCTCCAAATGGCACTTGGGCTGAGAATGGTTGTGCTTGCATTGGGCAACGCAAGGGGAAAGTTATGTGGCATCTACTGCATCTATCTGATGAGTTGGCCAGCTGAAAGCTCAGGGATGTGGAGGCAGTGCTCAGCCTCTGCAAAGGTGCTCCCCAGTCATCTATATCAAGTTTTAATGGCCCAGTTCTGAGGGCAGGCTCTTCACAGCACACCTAAATGTTACAGACTTGTACATAAATGGAGAAATGCATGCACACACATATACCTGAGTAGGAAGGGTGTCATCATGATACGTAGCGCTTGGAAAAGAACGTTGACTGTCCTTGAAAGAACAGAAATTGAGAGCAGGGGCATGCCTAAAAAATAGTAGGATTTTCATTCCCCTACCTATGGATTCAAGCAAAAAAATGAATACAAGTGGCAGAAGTTTATTTGGAATAGGTTTTAATTAGAGATATAATTTTAATTATATATATATATATATAAAAATAATATAATTTTAATAAAATATTATTATTTCTTAATTTATGGTGGTAGAACAGGTAACAGACAGTAGAGACCTAATGATGTTGAAAACACAAGTTATATTTTGGCTTTGGGCCTACTGCATGTTCCAATCTAAAGTATTATAACTGTCTTTACATCATCCATGGCCAAGGTAAGACACACTCAGCTGTATCTATGGTTCTGGGCTAAGTTTAGTAAAGAATTAAGCTATGATCCTCCAAAAGTAACTTTGTTCATGTTGTTAGTCCTATTGGTTTTATACTTAGTTCATCCAAAGGGGCAAATCCATAACCTTTAATAGAGCTACTTTTAGTACAAAGATGTCACCAAACAAAGTTTTGCTGACTTCCAGAGGATTCCAGGTTCCTATGGAGAAACTCCAGAAGGCCAAAAAGCTTATTCTTCCCCATCTATCCATGGATACACCATAAAGGCATGTCTGGCAAATAGCTGATCATTGAAACACTTCAGTGCTGTTTCTTCCAACACAAAGCAGAACGGCACTGAAGTGGTCAGCCAACACTGCCTCCTTCCAAGCCAACTGTACCGAGTGCTTCACTGCTAGAGATCAAAATCTAGTGCAAAAACATAGTTTTGTTCCAAAGGCATCAAACATTGCACTCGTGTATGAACTCATATACACAACAGCAAAATAAGTACCCAACAGAGTGCATTTGAAAGTCACATTGTATTGATAACCATAATAGGAAGGCAAAAAATCTACTAAGTAATAGAAATGACAGCAGCAGTGATGCAGCATTTTTTGTTTGTTTAAATCCTGAACCACTAACGGAAGCAGCAGTAAATCTTTGAGGCCATCACAGAAGTGTTCACAGTGCAGCCATGTCAGATTCCAAAGAAACTGCAAATTTCGTAAGTACCTTGTCATAAGGATGTGAGAAAGGAAGGAAGTCTTCTATAAATCTCATGTCTACTAAAACATAGTTTGGAACATGCATGCAAGAACACACATGAATTACTAAATGTCAATTCTGCATTTTACTTGACTTGTATTCAATCATGTTCCTCTGCTTTTGGGATACCTCCTGCAACATCTGCTCATACAAGATCCTATTTAATTATGAATATTTTGATATAGTTATAATAGCTATAACTTTGTTCTGGTTCTCCTCCCTACCACTACCCTCTTGCATCATGTATCAATACTTGTTTTCAAAATAAGCATATTTTTAATTAGCAACTTGAGATTCTGGTTTCCTGTTGAACAGACAATGTTAACTTGATACAGTAGTGTTCTCCATTTTGTGCATTCTGGAAAAGTAGGGCTTAGGAAGAAGTGTTTATGTGGGTAAATTAATTAATACTTTCTTAATTATTTTAGGAAGCAGTAGACCGTATCCTCACTGCTTACCATTTGAATGCTTAAGTCCACTAAGTCATGGTTGTATTACTGTACAAGCACTCAGTTGATTACTTGTACCTTGCTGTTACAGACATGCAAACTTTATGGAGAATGTACAACTGTATTTAGCAATTAGGTCTTAGATAGCAGAAAAAGCTGGTAGTTAATTGCATATTTCCTTTTTTCCAGGACTGTTTGATTTGGATATTATTCCATAGCATCTTGCCAGATGCAAAGTAATACACTATGTGCTACAATAGCCATTATTATTTATTAGATTTAATAGTCCAAGTGCACAATTGTTAACTGTCTGGTTGGCTGGTTTTCATTTTCCAACCTTAAATTGTTATATTCAAAACATTTGGCATTTTTATTTTTTATTGTATTGTTATAGAAAGCTTGCTTCAGTTAGAAGAGGTTGTGATAAATTGCAGCAAATGTCAAGATATTAGGGTTTTTTTACTACTTTGTTATGACTACCTTAAAAAAAAAAAGCAAGAGTATTTACCTTGTTCTTTTTAACTTTTTGTTTATGATGGTGATTTTTAAACTGTTTCGAGTACAGCAATACATACAAGATAGACAAGAGATCAGAGATTCAATACATAGAAGGAAGACAATACAAGATAATATGATCAAAGTGTTCAGATACCCAGAGAGCATCTGTCTAACACATTTCCCTTGTTTATCACATACAAGCCTATGTCATACTCATACTGTGGTGAACAACTGATACATTTTTAGCCTGACTGATTTAGGTCCACTTTTCTTCTGCAAGTGTTTAAGGGCCTTCTCCTGAATCTTTTACATCAGCATCAATGGAACAGTTGAGTGAAAAATGAATGCATAATTAGAATATGAAAGATTAAGTATACTCTATAGACAGCTATTTCCTTTCTCCTCCTTCCCAAAGTCTCTTTTACATCATTAGTATTTTCATGTCCACTTTAGTCATTTCTCTGTATATATTTCAGCATTCAGGTTACTGCAATATCTTAGCACACTGCTACAAATAAATTTTTTAGGGGGACAGATTCTGTCACCCAGAAGCACATAAGATTTATTTTACTTTAAAAAAGTGTGTCCAGTGACTTCCAGGGACCTCCATGGCTCCGTTCAGATCAGAGTTACACATCACATTACTTTTCTTGGCCAAAAGTGAGGGCCTTATCCACAGCTCATTAAAGTCAATTTCTGCATTTGGATGAGTCCTTAAATGACTACAATACTGACTTTTAATGAATAATGTTCTAGCCAAGTTATGTGCTGCTTTCTTTGTAGTATACGAATCTGAAAAAAAAAATTAATTCACACTTTCTTGACAAAATTACAAACATTCCTTAAATCTAGTCAGTGCAATCTGAACACCCCCATATATCTGCCCACATATTACCTGCAGACTGATCTCCAATCAGTTTAAACAACCTGATAGATTTTGGCTCTAAATAAATATTCTTTCAGAATATATGGCCCCAACCATCACCTTAAAAGGTTATTTTTCCTCTCTTTTCACTGTCATTTCTCAAAGATAGCTTATTCCTTTCTTCACTGGAAGAAAAGCAGCTGCCCCTCTGAAGCAGCTCATGCTAGTGCGGTACATTATTTAGCTCAAAGCAAAGAAGAATAGGAGAATTTTCAGTCAGCTAACATGAACAAGAATGCATTACCATCCAAAATAGAGCTATATCACAGCATGAAGTTCAGAAGCCTGAATTTGCTTCATATCTTCCTATGGACATATTCACTTGCTGTATGGTCTAATGATTTAAATAATTTGAATTTATAAAAGCTTGTTGCCTAAATAATAAACCATAGATATATTTGCAGAGTAAGTACAATTCAATGAGATTTTGCATTTACTTTGATCTGGCTATTTTACCTGAGATCCTGAACAGCAGAATGGCAGGCAATGGCATAGAAGAGATTGCAGCCTGGAGAGAGGTTATATCAGTCATCTGGCATGGGAGAATCCCCATATGACATAATGAATTATAGTAGTCCAGGACCCTAATGTCTTGGCCTATATCAAGGCCAATTCCCAACAAGCCTTGAAAACAGAGAGAGAGAGAGAGAGAGAGAGAGAGAGAGAGAGAGAGATGAAAACTCGACTTAAAAGATGCATTTATGGAAGGGTGTAAAAGCAGCATAAGTAACAGATTTTATAATGATGCTAGAGCAATGTATATTTATATAGCCAAATAGCCAACATATATAAACAAAAACTTGAAATGACATTAGACTTGTAAGTCTACCTGTTATTTCTAGTAAAATAAATGTTGGTTTTGTCAGTATGTAGTACCTTTAAAATAATAGTGATTCAAAGAAGATAACCTTACATATCCCTTTATCAGTATTCGTGTTAATAAAACAACTGATTAAAAATAATAATAAACTACACTTAAAATTAATTGAAAATCACTATTAACATTTCATCTTAAAAAGTGATACTAAGCATTTGATTTCTAAACACACAGCTTTTGCACTAATCCTGGGCCTAAACTTTATTATTCAATATATCTTTGAAACCTGAAAACATAATGCCGCTCAATATGTGGGGGAGGAAAAATGTTTATAGGTATAAAAAAACAGAACTGAGACTATTCAATTTCAGTATTGAGTGGTTAGGTTTAGAAGAGATCTCTTAGGGCATCTATTGGAGAATCTTAGTATTGCACATGAAAAAAAAGTTTGCTTTCTTCCACACAGGCCCCTTAGAATAAGTTATTTTCAAAATAATAAAATGCATATTACTGAGGACGGCCTGGATGGAAGGCTGTTACATTTATTGATTGAGCTATTTAAGAAAAGCAATTTTAAAAATGAGAAATATACAAAGTACTAGGATGCTGCAAACTGAAACATTCACTATTTTGTTGCCATCAATTAACTAATTAACCTAATCATGCTTATTTAAGCAAAATCAGATCAATGAATAGAACTAATTTTCAGATTTTACATATTTATAAACAAATAGTGTTTACATGACAGCACCTGAAGTCACATTAAAAAGATTACATTCACTTAAGGATTGCCTTTGCTATCTAAACAAGAAGTAACCCATTAAAGATATGGTTATGTAGAAATGTAGATACTGACAAACTGGCTTTATCTTCTACTACTTCTACTTCAATGTAGAAGCTGTCTGCCAGCTAATCCCACACTGAAGCACCCTCATGCCCCAGCCAGCCTCTTCTCACCACAGTGAGATGGGGTGGAACAGCCCGAGGCTGGTAGGCTGCCCCTCTCAACTCCCTGCCAGCTGGGGCTGCTCCAGCCCAGCTCATTGTGCTATGGTCTTGGGTGCACATGCAAACAGCATGCCAGGAACAATAAACTCTGTCACAAGAAACACCAGAGTTTATCGCTCTGCATTAATTACATGTGTAGATGCACCCAGAAGGTACTCTTTCTTTTGGGAGAGAAAAAGGGATCAGAAAGGAAAGCTTCCATATGGGAAAAGCATAAAGATAAACTTTCTTCAAATAAATTGAGACTACATATATATATTATAGTCTGTATGTATGCTGTAAAAGGCCAGACACTTGCTATATTCTATCTTGCTTCCCTGCCCCATCAGACAGTGGACAATAGGTTGCATCTACCAAGCCCTTGTTTGATAGGATAACAGGGTGCACTGCATGTGCAGGTTTTAAACATAGTGGTTAAAACTTCTCTCACACATAACATGCAGGCATACCAAAAATGCAGATTAAAAAACACATATGTAATCTTTCTGCAGAGCACCTGTTCTATTCTGGGGTGCTAAATATATTTTACCTTGGTTCGAGCCCCCACCCAGACTACCTGGGAAACACTAAATGAGTCACTGAGGTGTCCAATAAGACCAACAACCGTTTCCTCACAAGCAGTGTAAACACAAAACGCAAATTTATTACAAAGAATAATAATAAAAAAGAAAACACTAACTATAATTTTAAAACACTATAAACTACAAAATAAGGTCTATAGGTGGCTCCTTCTTAGGGAGGTTTCACCCATACCCAGGCAGTTTGGGACTTGGGGGTTCCCCAGCAGGTAGTTCTGGGGGCTTGCACAGCTATACCTGCCCTTCAGCAATGGGCTGGAGAGGGGGGCCTGCACCACAGTGGACCTATGAGCTGCTTCATGGGTTCACTGCACCTCAGGAAGCATTAGTCCTTCTATGTTGCAAGGGGCCCCTTGTTTTCCCCTGTGAAGCTGTAGCGCTGATTTCCACTTCCATGTGGTGGCTTTGAGGGGTTAACTGTAGCTTTCATCATCACATTGTACCCTAAAGGGGCAGGAAACTGCAAGAGAAACCAAAGAAAAGCCAGCCAAACAGCAAAAGAGCCTGAATTGCACACAGCACCAACCTTGCTGCTTGGTCAGGACAAAGGGCTACAAAAGCAACAACATGTGCAAGACAGCAGACATACAGCAGGGCTCAGTAACACAGTTATGCTGAGACATAACAGCTGTAAAACAATAAAAGGGGGACTCAGGTCTGTCCTGCACCAAGGCCTGTACATACAACGAAAGAGCGCCAGGCCTGTTTGGCTGCAGCCTGGACATTTAGTCTTAGCTACACTGTTATGCTGAGACCTAACAGCTATTAAACAACAAAAAAGGGCCAGGCCTATTTTGGCTTGGGCCTGAACTACAACTAGTGCCCACCCACACTGTTTGGTTGGGGCATAAACTGCAATAGGGACAAAAGGAAGCACAAGCCTATCTCGCTAGGCCTGAACTGAGCTGCAATAGCTGGCCAGGCCTATACTTCACTGAGGCCTGGATAAACAACAAGTAGGACCAGGTCTCACCCTGGCTTAAACCCTGCCAGGCTTAACCCTGGCCCAAATTTGAAGCCAAACATATGACTGGGGTTCAGTCACACACAGGTGGGCTGAAATGCAATAGCTGTGAAATAGCAAAAAAGGGCCCAGGTCTATGAGTGCAGCCTGGACTATCTAGTCTCAGCTATACTACAATGCTGAGACACTACAATTGCCAACACAGGAGGCCAGTAACTGCCAGGACCCAGTTCCTGCTTAGTCTGCTTCAGAGATTAATACATCCCACTCAAGGCCTGCATGGTCAAAACTGCCAGCAAGACATGCAGCTGAGGTTTAGCCACACATTTAGGCTGGAACCAAAAGAAGTTGCAACAGCAACTAAAACATGCCAGACTCTTAGCCCTGTCCCAGAGCGCACCAGCAAAACTGCCAGGCTCCAAACCTCACTAGTTGGGTTTGCTGCAGGGATTTGAAAGCCCCCCCCCACCCCGTGCACATTGTGTCATCTCACTCAAAACCCAGAAAACAAAAGGGGAATGAAGAGGGAGAGAACAGGGGTCTCAAGCCCTGAGACAGACTTTCTCTCCCTGTACCTGAGGCCTTCCCATCACATAACTTTTGTTTGCCTCTTCAGTGAAGGGGGGGCAGGGGGAGACCCCCCCATGGGAAACAGGTTTTCTGGCTCCTGATTCAGCAATGCAGCTCTCAGCAGCCCCAGGAGAAAAGAGACCCCAGGCCAGGTGGCCGGAACCTTAAACAACTTTTCTGACAATTACAGGGTCCCTATCAAGTAAGAGCATCATTTGAACACTGCTAATGGAGACCAATCAGTTCAAAGGTGGTCAGTGCTCCTGCATTTGCTCCAGAGTCAATAAACTGGTTTTACAGGTACTTAAAGGAAACTTAAGACAATGGTCTGGATGCAATGAGGAAGAGGAAAGCTGCTTCTTCTTCAATCCCAGAACCACCCCCCGCCCCCATTTACAACAACCAAAAGCACACTTTTCACCATACACAACCCCAAGTGTGTGTGGGTGTTACACATATTTAAAAAGCAACATTCGTTTCTGGCTTAGACATGTTCCCATCATAATTATCGCTGCTATTCTATGCATCTTCTTCCCCCACACCCCCCATTTATTTTGCTACTTTGCTCAGTATCTCTTCTCTGTTTCATCAATGCCCTTCTATACCCTCTTCTCTTTTTTTTTTTTTTTTTTTTTTGGGGGGGGGGGGGGTTGGTAAATGTTGGTTTACCTTTATTATTTTTCTTTCCCTGCAAGATCTATTCCCTATATAAAAAAAGTTATGTGACCTTCCTCTTGCTCCCTTACATACATTCTGTCAGTTATCACAGATGCCTGGAATGAGTGGCAGGGGTTTGGGGTGTTGTTTTTTTTTGTCAAAGCTTAAGACCTTTCAAAGGGCAATTCACATAATGAGCTTGTTTCACCTGTTCTTCTGTAAAAACATCTATATCAAGTTACTTTATAACAAGTGAACACATATTAAACTAATCCTAATAAAAGGTAACCATTAACTAATTTATTTTTAATTTCTGAAGTAACCAATAGGAAACAGGGAAAACTTCCATACTTCAGCCCCGGTACTGGAAGGGTTATGATACTTTCCCAGAAAGCAGAAAACCAGATTTCTTGCTCTATATCCCTCCTCCCTACCTTTCCCCTCACCCCACTCTGAAGAGTGTGAACCTATGTCCATCTGATTTCCCAGCATCACCCAGTTCTGTCTTTAGAACATGGTTAGATGCTGGCTCTGTGTACAGATACAAGAAGGGGAGATATGTGGGACCAGAAGGAAGCAAACGAACTAGAAGGTGTGTGGCTCAGTAAGATAAATACTCCTCTAAGCTGAGATAGAAACTTCCCCACTGCACTCTATACATTTTAGCTAATGTTTATTAAATGTAAACATTAGATAAAATGTATAGAGCGCAGTGAGTGCAGTACTGTAGCTCAACTCCAGAAGGAGGGCTGGAGAAGGACTTAGATAGTAGGGCTAGTGTACTGAGCTAGGAAGTCAGAAGGATACAAGTTCAAAATCCTTCTGGTTAAATAGAAGCTGAACCTACTTTATAGGTACATGCCCTAACGATTCACAAAATGGGACTTAAACATGGAAGAGTCTTTCTCCTTCTGTGTTTTTTCAAGACTTATGCTCAGGTATGGATATATATAGTTATACACCTGAGCACCATGGCCCACTGAGCATGTTTAGTAGCCATGTGGACACTGCATGGGTAATAGCATTTCAA